AATTTTCTAAATTGGTCGATGATAATCATCGGCAGATTTTTCAAATAACATGTACACCGGATGCTTTACTATAGCCGGCAATATTTGTCGAAGCCAAGTACCCAAATGTTATTTGTTAGTAATTTCGATAAATAATTTTTTAAAAATTTATTTTTAGTATAGTGATTTGTAATTGTATTAAGAATTGAAATAAATTGTATTCAATAATAATAAAATAAAAATAAATATTAAAAACCAATTAATACTTTAAATACAGTATAGTGATTGATGAATAAGAATTTCAATATCATTTTTTTTATTTATTAAATTATTTTTATTGATTTGATAATGCCAAATTTAATTAATTTAAATCAACTTTTTAGGTGGAATCTGAACTCTATCCGACCGAGTCAGTTTAGAACAAAATTCAATTCGACGTACAACATACATACAACCACCAATATCCTTAATTCTACTTGAATCGTTATGATGATCACAGTACATGCTTCACTTGCATTACAATGCTCATTGTTTTTTTCGCTTCATTTGAGTGCTGCCAAGAGAAATAAGATTTCAGGCTTTCAATTCCAGCCCTACTAGTAACGTAATACATAGGAGAGTGGTTTTTATATATATACATCCATACACATAAATTTAATCAGACCATCTATCGATAAAATATCATTCATCACTTTTTATGTTTAATAATTTTCAACTCAACATTATAAATTTTTTTTTATTAAAAACGAAACAAGTACCTGAAATATCTAAAAAGCAAAATCTAAAATATTTAAAACAAATGCAACAAGAAAACGAATATCTAAAAAAGAAATACAAAGTAATCGTTCAATTCAGAGCATTGAATTCTCGACACGAAAAATAGGAGTCATTAGGTGTTGAGTCTTCAACGGTATCTGAAACTTGTAAAAGAGAAAGAAAGGGAAACAGGAGAGATCAAAGATCGAAAAAGATCTGGGCGTCCGCAAATCCTATCACCCAATGATGTAAAAGAAGTACTCGACATTAAGAAGGTGTGTAATAAATGAAAAAGCCAGATTAGGACGCCTTGACTTTGCCAAAACTAGACTGCTGATGATTGGAGAAAGGTTATTTTTTCCGATGAAAGCAAATTCGTACTTTTTGGATCTAATTTTCGTAAATTTTGCTGAGAAAAAAGGAAGATAAATTAAAACGTGCTTATTTTAGTCCGACCAAAAAATTTGCATAATGCGGAGTTGTATAACTTCGCGTGGGGTTCAGATTGATGGAATGATGTGTTTTATATCGTTAGGGATCTTGTTTTGTGCCCATTATGATAACCCCCAATAAAATATCAAATACGTATATAATAATTTTATTCGTTTTTTTTTTTACTTAGAATATTTTTTCGGCTTTTGAAAGATGATGATAATCTATTATACAACCTATTATACGATGCAAAGTGCTGGACTGAAATATTATATGTTTCGTTATAGTTGATTGCTAATTTGTCTTGCGGTTAATATTAACTATTAGTTTCATTAACTAGTGATGATTTGACTTTTTAAAATTTTATTTGTTTAAATGGCTTGATGGGAATTTTTTAAATAGTTTTATATATAATTATAATTAGATTATATCAATAGTGTTATATATTTGTTATATTATATAAAAAGTATAAAAAATATAGGTATTACTAACACCATATATTTTATAATAATTTAGAATTAGGGTGTAAGGCTAGAGTTAGGGGTTAGAGTCAATGAGGTTTTGGACGTGCTAAACATTTTTACCTAGAAATAACCATGTATTAATAATCACTTAGTTTTCGAAGTATAGCAACTGTGGTATTGATGTGTTTTATTAAACTCGAAAGTGTGTATCTTTAATATATCGTCAAAAACTTTTTATTTAGAATATGAAAAGCTGTGTTTAGTAAAAACACAAGACGAAAGTTTGAAAGATATCTTTGTTTTGCATATTAACTTTGATGTTAATAAGTTTTCATTAAAAATGTCAACTAATAATAAAAAATATATAGATATAATTTCAGTTAAACTTATTAAAATAATTTGCTTAAGATTTATTAATGTTTACTACTTTATTGCGACTTTTCTTGAGCAAGTTTTGCGTAAAAGGAATCTCTTTTACGAACAGCAGGAATATGGATCCCGTACCAATAGGCATATGCAGAAACAGTGCCCAAACCTAAAGCAGCGGAGATGTCAAATATAAGCCTTTTGCGAAGTTTACCCGTAATCGGAGCTAGAGTCATGTTTTTTTTTTTTTCAGTTATAAAAACTTTTTTACGATGTTTTTAAGTTGATGTGAACGTCATCTCAAAGTAACACATTGAAAAATTTACTTGTGATTATCATGTGATATTAAAATTAATAAACGATAGTTGACTGCCAATTCGAAATAATTAATTATTCGTCTTTGACCACTTCAGAAAGTAAAAATTTCTTATTCTTTATTAAAAAAACATGCAACCGTTCAACAAGTACTACCCACCAGACTGGGTCCCAGAAAAGGTAACAATGAATAAAATTGAAGTGCTGTCTCAATCTGGATCGTTGTAATTTTACTATTGTTATTTATTTTTTAGGGATCGGTAAATAAATTTGTGGGAAAACACCCGCTTGGAGACAGAGCTCGTAAAATTAGTCAAGGAATTTTAATCGTCAGGTTTGGATCCCTTGAATAAGATTCAAAATATTTATCACGGTTCGATATAATAAATTGGAAAGCTTGTAACTTAAAAAAGTTTTGGCCATTGTATAAATATGGTTAAAAAACTCTAAGATTCGAACTACCCTTCAACATCTGGTGTGAAGGCTGTGATAAACATATCGGAAAAGGTGTGAAATTTTCTCTTTTTTTTTTTTTTTACTATTACAATTCGATCCTTTTAAAAGAACTTTTTTAAAACATCCATTTTTTATTAGGGGTTCGATACAATGCCGAAAAGAAAAAAATTGGAAATTATTATAGTACACCAATATATAGCTTTCGAATGAAATGTCATTTGTGTGATAATTGGATTGAAATTCACACAGATCCAAAGGTTAGTTGATTTTTTGAATTCTTTTGTTTATTAATGAAATATTAAGCTTTTTTATATAAATATAAATATAGAATGCAGAATATGTGGTCGTTAATGGTGCTCGTAAGAAAGTTGAGACATGGGAGCCAGAAGATTCCGAAACTATTCAACTTAAAGGTAAGACTTTTGTTGCACTGTTAACTCTATTAATTTCTTTGTTTTAAAATTTCTCTCTGGAATTTAGATGAGGAGGAAGCTAAAAAATTGGCCGATAATGCGTTATATAAACTTGAACATTCTATTAATGATGAAAGAAAATTTCAAGAATCTATTCCGATATTGACGCAGCTTCAGGTAGAAATATCTAGTAAACTTTCTATATTAAAAAATATTAAAATGTTATCGTAGTAATAGAATATTATTATTGTGTAAAGAGATTGAACGAAAGACAATGGGCTGATCCGTACACGCATTCTCAAAAAATGCGTAAAAAATTTAGGGTAATTATTTCTTTATTTGTAATAATTTATTCAAAGGATCGATTCAAACATGTCTTCTTATTTTATTTAGGAGGAAAAAAAGGATCTTGAAGCTAAAAGACGATTAGATGATGAAATACGCGATCGGAATTCACTATCAATTCCATTATTGCCTGAATCTTCTGAAGACATCATGGAAGCCAAGTCAACAGAATTTACAGGTACTTTAAGTATAATGTAATGTAAAAATTTATGTGTGCATATATATTAACTAAATATGTTGACTAATTTCGTCAGATCATCTTCTCGAACAAGCACAAAAACGCAAGCTTGAAATAAACACCTCATCATTATTTAAAAAACCATCATCAAAAATTAAAAAATCAAGATCTCATGCTGATGGATCAAAAAAAAAAGTAGCAGAGTTATCAAATATTGTTTCCGTGAACACCAAACTTAAAACGGATCCATTTCTCAAAGATAACGATTGGAATGGTGGCGGTACTGTAATTGGTAAAAGTGGTGAAATCAATAGTGATTTAATCCTCATAAAGAAAAAAGATGCGAGCAGACCGAATGGAAACCAAGTGACAGATAAAGGTATTGTTCACTTTTAAATTTTAATTGTTTGGTTATTGACCATTTTCTTATAACTTGTTTATTTCGTTCAGATGTTAATGTACATACCACGTCTTTAGTAAGCGCTGATTACGACGATGAGGATTAAATTTATTATTTAATGATGTAAAAGTTGCATTCTCTAATTAATGTAATTAGTATCAGTTTTGTATTATAATTACTCTAATATATATATATATATATATATATGTGAAGTATATAATTGAAATTACGAAATTTGAAATTATGGTCACGTATTTATTATGATTAGTGCCCCAGACCTATTAGTTTGGAATTAGGTAGATCTCAAGTAATATTTACTAAGTTTCGCAAAATGTCTAATGTCAAACGCTTTTAATATTAATTTATTTTACCACTAATAACCCATATAAAAATTAGTTTGGGATTCTCCCTATAAGAATAATAAAATTGATATATTATATCTTAATTTACAGTAACTGCATAGTAACAACATAGTGACTATATAGTTACTCAAATTTAATAATAAATACATAGTATAGTATATATATATAATTATATATATATATATATATATCGTTATTAGCAGTTACTACATATGGGCTGCTGTCAATAGATTGACATTTTTTAAAAAAAATTCTATACCTCAACTTTCACATATCTCGATGAATTTTGATGCTTTATTATTCAAAAGAAAGCTTAGAAATTAAGCTGCGAAAGTTGAGGTATAGACTTTTTTTAAAATGTCAACCTGCCTGATTTTTATTGCGGCAGCACAATATTAAAGATATATCTAAATTCTGTAATGTAATTTATAAGATCACTAATCATAATATATACTACATGAAATTAAATAAATTACCTAGTCTTTTATATACACGTACTCACGTCAAACAAATAATTAGCCTTTACCTTTATAGATTTCTACTGAGAACGCTATAGTGCTCTTTTTAATTAACAATTATGATGATGGAAAGGATCATATGGGTTGCCGTCTATAGAAATCAAGCAGATAAAAAATTAATCTTTTAACTTTCATAATTTATATCTTGATAAATTAAAGCTTAAGATCTTGGCTTCCTTTTGATTATAACTCATTAAGATAGCCTTAAAATTCATCAAGATATGAGTTATGAAAATTAATAGATTAATTCTTTTTAAAAAAATGACAATATGCTTGATTTCTATTGACGGCAGCCCATATAATTGATAAGTTATTAAATTTTTTACTTTTATAAAATTATTAAGCATTCCGAGAAATCTGTTCAAAAAAATCTATCATTTACATTTCAAAGTATGAAAGTTTTTCACCTTCGTAATTATTTTCCACTTATTGTGTACAGTACATATTCGATAGACTAGTGATAGTAGTCGATCCTGAAGAATCGACTTTATTTAGTCGATATAACAATTAGACTATTTTACCAGTTATTAGAACCATAAAAATTTTATTGATTTTTGAGATTGACATTATTGACCGAAAATGGTGTATTTATGTGGGTTTTGATCATTATCCCAAAAATAAAGTAGGAATTCTGATTTCCAAGAAACAAATTCATAATTCAAACAAAAGGTTCGATCGAGATCCTACTCAGGTGGTGGGCCAGGCCTATATACGGGTTTCCCTACTTTATGACTATCGAAAGCGCATTGAAGGTCAAATATATTGTCAAGGATAAATATGCTTCAAACACAGTTAAATACATACAGTTGCCACCATGCACCTTAAAATATAAGTTCATATCAATAAAAATTACGCAAGAAGTTAAAATATATTTTATTTAGATGACAATAATTCTTACCAAGGAAGGGGATAGAAAAACCCCAAGCAAGGAACGCTGTCATTCCTATAGCAAGGGCAGGTTTATTCTTTGTACTAAAAGGAAGGTGCTATAATAAAGTTACGAAAAATTAATCGCCTTAAAAACTTTTCAAAATGTATTTGTGATTATAAAAACGTACCGAACCGTCCTCATTTTCCCAATGATAATAACCGCTGCGCATTGGGCGAGTTACGGCTCGGGAGCGTACAGCAGAACGAGCAAAAACGGATGAATACATTGGAATCGAACGAGAAAGACGGCAAAAGTTAATTATTCCAAACCAATGTACAAATAACTTTCGATATAAGAAATCCTCGATATAAAAACTACAAGAAAGTTAAAGTCAAAATCAGTTATAATAAGTTAAATATAACGATAAGAAAATTTTACCCCATCACCTTATCAGTTAAGATTTACGATTTTTATCGGACCAATCATAATGTATTTAAATAGTTAACTGTTAACCGCGTTTTCAGTATTTCTATATCGATACAGTATTATTTCAGTACTTAGTGATGAGTATTCATTTTCTTTTTCCAAAACCAGCGTTTAGTGCTGGTAAAAATGATCAAAAAGATCAAGATGGCGATGTTGATATGTTTATAAAAGCACAAAGAGATAACTTTGATTCAAAGGTTGTAACGCCTGGACAAGTAATCACAGCAGACACACAATATATGAGGTATGAAATATTTCCTTTAAATTTTATCATGAACCTTTTTCTCGTGTTAAAAAAAAAAAAAATTTCTAAATGCTTTTCTTTAGAGGCCATGGCACGTATCTCAATGAAGAAGAATCCTCACACATATCGTCAGTAGCAGGTGTAGTTGAACGTGTCAACAAATTGATTACTGTTAGGCCTTTGCACGCGAGGTAAAGAGGAACCGTTTTGATTTTTCTTTTTATGATAAAATAGCAAGATTATTTAATTGATTGCGTTTAATATAGGTATACTGGGAACATTGGCGATCTAGTAATTGGACGTATTACAGAAGTAAGAATATAAAAAGAGCATTTAGACCTTTATGAAATCATTAATTATTTTTAATGTGACAGGTTACTAATAAACGATGGAAAGTTGACATAAATTCACGGCAAGATGCTGTGCTATTATTATCAGCAATTAACCTTCCTGGAGGCGTTCAGGTGACAATATTTCCCAGTACACTATCCAAGCTTAATTTTCATGTTCTTAATATATTTAAATTTTTTTTATAATTTTAGAGACGTAAAACTGAAGCTGACGAACTTCAAATGAGAAAATTCTTTGCTGAGGGTGATCTACTAGCGGTATTACATTAAACTCTATTTTTAACAAGACTGCAAGCCAAGAGATTAATGATTAATATACCAATTCTTTTAAATAAGGCGGAGTTTCAGGGATCTTTTCAGGACGGATCGACGTCTTTGCATACAAGAAACTTAAAATATGGAAAGGTATTTAAAATCTTTACAATAAAAATATTTTCAATCATGGATTAGTAAAAAATTTAGCTGTTTTATACCTAGTTACGCAATGGATCACTCATAGTTGTTCCACCCGCATTAGTTCAAAGATGTAAAACACACTTCCATACATTATCATGTGGAGTGGATGTGACCTTAGGTCTAAATGGATATATATGGGTTAGTAAACATTCATCAAAGAATTTAGACGAATTGGATCCTGAGGCCATTTATTCAAACGACAATGAGGTGAGATTTTTTCAAACTTTTTTTGTCAAGTTATTTATTTAATCCTTTTATCCATATTGATATTCAAGAGTTTTTTGTGGCTTGTAGCCAGTTGATCGGTCAACTAGAGAAACAATCGCACGTGTTTGTAACTGTATCAATGCCTTGAGTAGACATTTCATGTGCATCACTGATACTATAATTACATATGCATATGAAGCTTCTTTAAAATATCCAGTTAAGGATCTTTTAAAATTAGAAGCTATGGAATTCGTAACGACAGAAGTTAGACATAAGCTTTCTGTCGTCAGATCCATTTACTAAAAAATTTTTAATTTAAAGACAAAATATCGATTTTGTTACAATTTAACCAGATTCATATAAAAGTTTAGTAGACCTATGTCAGGTACATGATAATAAACAAATTCGCTATTATTTTCTATTAAGATTCCAAGACACGTTAATACGCACAGTGATCATGTGACGTTGCGTTATCAAATTGTCATTGCACCGGAATTTTAATAAATTCAGAGAATTTATTATCTCTTTCCCAAAAATGTCAAAAATAGATTTAATAAATTCACCGCCGTACACTGATTTAACTTTCGCGCAAATTGAAGAAACATTAGGAAAGTTGGTCACAATAAAATTAAAAAATGGAGAAAAGTTTGAAGGACATTTGTATAATATAGATCCCGTAACTTTTACGGTAATTTTATTGCAGGTATAAAGTCTTTAATAACGTTCTTATTAGCATTCGTAATAAACGATTGAGTGAAATTTTGTTTGATCATAGATTGGGGATCTTTACACAGTAGACGAACTTCCGTCAAGATACAAGATATTGATCATAAAAGACTTTGACATATCAGAATTCAAAGGTAATAAATATTTAATGATTTAAGAACAATACTTAAAGATCAACTCCTAATATTTTATTTGATATTTTATCGTGCTGATAAAGTAAACAATGATAAAGATGCGATACCCAGAAACCTATTGGATTCTGTAGTCAACAAATATACAGAAGATTATACTATCAATTCAGAAAAAATGCGACAAAGAAGAGAAAAATTGATCTCATTATTTACATCGGTACAGATAAATTTTATTTTTGTGTAAATCCGTGATACAATAAGATGAATAATCTCTTTTTTGATTCATACCATATTCGAAAGCAACGAATTCCGGTGACACACAACGAAGATGAATCAATTATTCATATCATGGGTCGTGCTCATATTTCGCCCCCATATGTAGTATCTTCTATTGAATGTGATAATGAAATAATTTTGGAAAGAGTGAAAAATATGATTACACAATTACCTTTGGATTAACGAAATATTCAACAAATCAAATGAGAGTTAATAAATCGTGCTCATAAAATGCAACTATTCTATATGCCATCAAATTATTAATGTAGTGGTTATATTGGAGGCACGAAGAAAGTAAAATTATAAATCTTTCTCGCGCACTATGATTCCACGAAAATTGTTATATGCCTAATAACTCTCGGGACCAAAATCCATGAAGTAAAACACTTCAAAAGAATTTGTTGTTTTCGGTTTAATATTTTAAATTTAAATATTTAGAAAACTTTCCCTTGTAAATGAGATTAGGCTGTTAACGTTTTTTTAAAATACTAAAATACAGCTTAAGTACGTACAATATTATAATCAAAGTTCGCTTGATTGGCTAATAAATTACAATTTTCTGATTGGTGCGCCTGTTGTCATTTTTTTTTTATAAAGTGCAAAACCACGAGACATAAAGGCTTCCCAAAATTTAAAAGTTAATAATATTTAATATAGAAATTATATCAAAAAAAAAGGGGCCGCCATTTTGTAGTTTAACGCAAGGTATAATGGTGCAATTAAGAACAAATGGTAATAAAATTTTTCAAGAGAGTTGATTATTTACAAATTTTAAATCGGGAGGGTAATGTGGCGCCCTATTACATACATGAACATAAATTTCCTTAGCAAATAATTATTCGATACAAAACACGATTTTTTAATGAATAAAAAGTTATCCAAATTATATCAAAATTTGAAGTATTTTAAAAAATGATATTTTTAATAACCTTACTTAATAGATGAAATTCAATTCATTTGTTAAAAATCTTGTTTTCTTGAATTATTTTTAGGGAGCTAGTAGAAAAGAGCTAATATATACCCTCATCCTCTCCCTCTTTCTTGACACCTTTTACCCCTTTACACCCCCTTTTATCTCCTCTATATTCCCTCTTTGCCTCTCTCTTAGGGTAAAAGAGGCAGGGGGGCAAAGAGAGAGTATAGAAAAGATAAAAGAGGGTATAAAGAAGTAGGGAGGTGTCAAGAAGGAGGAGAGGGTGAGAGATGAACATCTTTAATATAGATCATATATTTTTTTTAGCAAATTGCAGAAAATTTGGTTAGAGGTTCTTTAGCAAATTAATGTTAATTTTAAAATAAATTATAATTGACTATTTCATCAAATTATATTAATTTTGTATAAGGTAAGTATCCCTATTTTGACGCAGGTAACGTTTACGATAAATATCACGTGACTAACTGGTCAGAACTGGATGATTTTGGCACTATTCGATTAGTCTCGTTGAGACGAATCGAATGGCACAAAATCACCCAATTCCAACCACCAAATCATGAGATATCATT